TTCTACCCCACCTCAGGACCAAGAGGACTCTTTGACAAGAGTACACAGGAGCCTAGAGTCTCACCAAATGCTCCCTGTGGATAGAATTTATAAAAGGCCTCTAGTTATCTTTTCAGTGTTCAAAGTCACTAAGTAGCTCTGACAGTGGATACTATCTGTATTATGTTTGACCATAAATAGTTTTAAAAATCTGTTCATAGGAGTGCTTGTTTATGCAGAGCTTTAATGAGAGATGAAAAGATAGAGCAAAATGGGCAAGATCTGCTGACAAGCAGTGGGAAATGTTAGTTTGTGAATCCAAATTAACCAAACACACACACACACACACACACACACACACACACACACAGAGAGAGAGAGAGAGAGATAGAGAGAGATAGAAGAACTGCTACCATTAAAACCACGATAGTTAGAAATCCACACAAAGGCTATTCAAAAATAGAACATTTTTTTAAAATAAATTTTGAATTTTGAATTTTCATTATTAGTGTTGGGGATTGAATCCTGTCAAACTATTAAGTGATATCCTAGTTCCTTAAATTTGTTTCCCTTATAAGGTGTGTGTGTGTGTGTGTGTGTGTGTGAGTTTGTGTGTCTCTCCTATCAAAATGGATCTCTCACTGAATCTGGAGGTGATCAGTTTGGCTGGACTAGCTGGCCAGTGAACCTCAGGGATCCCCCTGTTTCTACCTCCCAAGAATAGCCTTACTGGGCTTTCTACATGGTTGTTGAGGATCAAACTTATTGTTCAAACTCTGGAACAAAGCTGCTTTCTGAGTTCCACATGTGTGTCTTGGCAAGCACTCACCGCTTCTGCTAATGGTAAAAAGTAAAAGAAAGCAAGCATTAATTAGAAAGTCTGTGTCTTTCTTTTTCCCCTTCTAATGATGGGACTTTGCCATTGATGCAAGAACTAGCATTTGCTACTGCATTCTGTCTTCAGAGGATAGATGGGCCTAAAGGGGAGGAGTAAATGATCTTCAATGCTTCGATGTAGTTGTTTTTTAAAATTAGAAACAATGTTTTAAATTGAAATAGAATTACATTATTTTCCTTTCACCAGCCCTGCCAGTGTGCAGGTGGGGACACACACACACACACACACACACACACACACACACACACACACACACATGCACGCACGCATATGACTGCTTCTGTTGCATGTGTGCATATTTGGGGACTGGTCACTCTGGAATGGACAATCACTAGGGGCTTGGCCCTGGAACAGGCTAATTCTCCCCCAACAGTCATTAGTTGCCTGTAGTTCTCTAACTAGGGGTGGCCCCACAAAAATATCTGCCTTCCTTGTTAATATGTTCATTGATATCACCAGATTTGTTTATACAGCCAATTCTGGGGGAGAAATGTTCCACAGCAGACTTACTGGTATCTTGGCTCTTACAATCTTTCCGTCCCCCTCCTTCTAGATGTTTGCTGAGCCATAGATGTAGGAGCCATGATGTAGATGTATCTGTGGGTCCTTGTATGGCCACAGTCCATTGATCTCTACATTGTGTCCAGTTGTGATTTTCTGAGATAGTTTCCATTCACTGTAAAGAGTTTTTCTTGGGAAGGGTGCTGATCACATGTATCCAGGGAGGGCCCCTAATGCACAAAGAGGGTTCAAGAGCTTGGGTCTAAAACTAGGCTTGTGTGTTTGCAGATGGCAGAGGGTTGGGGGATTGTAGTTACTTCCTGGTGTTTTCCGGAGATTGATTCTAGGACCTCTCCTCACTCCAGCCCCCACATCAGCATAATTCAAGATTGCTCAGGTTCCTTATATAGTATTTGTATATAACTTACACATGTCCTCCTATATACTTTCCTATGCCTCTAGATTATTTTAAATACCTAAGATAATATAAATGCTGTGCAATTATTATTATACTGAATTGTTTATGGAATGCTGACAAAACAAAAAGTTTATATGTTGTTAATATATTTTCTTTCTGTGGCTGGCTGACACTGCAGACATAAAACCTTCAAATATGGAGGTTTGACTTTACATTCCTACTGTGCATCTGCTTTTGACCCTGTTAGTTAATGTATGTGTTCTATGTGTGCAGGTGTTCATTTGTGTGAGATTGTAAAGGCTCACTGGCATGGCATTTGCCAAGTAGGTTTGTCTGGCAAACCAGTGAGCCCCAGTGAGGTGTCTGAGTTTGCTTCCCTTGTGCAGAGTTCCCAGTACCTGTAGCTGTGCTTAACTTTTTATGTGGGTTATGGGGAATCGAACACAAGTCCTAATGCTTACATGGCAAGTACTTTGTCTAAAGAGTTATCTCCCTTGTTCTCCATTATTGAAACTATGTCTATTCTTGAGTAAGAGGTACCAAGTTAAGCATAGGGCTTGTTGTTATAAATATTAATTGGAACATGATTTTTTTTTAATTCTTAGCCCCAAATTGGAGAGTTAATTGGAACGCTTACATTGGGGACTGTAATTACTTCTGTCCATTCTATAGTCCTGTCTTCTGTCTTTTCTGAATGGTAGGGTTTTCAACATCTCCATAAAACTCTGGTTATTTAAACAGTACTGGGTGTGTGCTGTGGTATATGTTTAACCTCTGATTCTTAGGCTGAATTTCACAAAGACCTTCCCCCAGGCTCCTTTTCCAAAGAGCACCCTGCCAGACAACCCATGTTTCGCTGTAGTTCTTGAAGCGCTGTGCCACCACCATGGGGGCTGCGCCTTTCTTTCGCTTGAGTTCAGTTTCATTAACAAGCACGTTCACACTTCAAGTGGAACATTTAAAATAACACCCGCACAATGTGTTTAGTGTTTAGTTAATTATTAAGTCTCCAAGCTTGAATTATTCAAGTGAAATTGATTGGGTTCAACCTTCTCCCTTCTCTTTGTGCTTTTAAAAAAAAGTCTGTCCTCTACTCTAAATAATTTGGAAAGGTTTTTAAATAAAATTTCAGTCCCCTGGCCTGTGGGTGGTATCCATGTGCTAATAGAATAGGTATAGAGGACAGGCAGTTTGAATCTTTTGTTAAAACTTGTTTTTAGGTCTGAGGGGGGGGGGTGGGCAGTGTCTTTGCCACCCTGTATTTCTTTCCAAGCCCTATGAAAAAATAGGACCTGCAATTCATACATTCCTATTACCGGTTAGACATTTAAAGAGAGCCAAGGGGCTTTGCCCTCCTCTCCTAATTACTTTAAACTTTAAAATGACAGTTTATTTATTTTATATGTGTCTGTGCACATGCATGCCACTGCAGGCGCGTGGAGTTCAGGGGTCAGTGATTGGAGTCTCTAGTCCTATCATGTTGATCTGGGGCTAGAACCCAGGCTGTCAGGCTTGGCAGCGGGTGCTTTTCTTGCTGAACCATCTTGTCTGTGTGTGCTCTTTATTACTTACTCTCATGGGCAAATGAAATTGTTAAAAATGTGTTGACTTCATCTTAAAAACTTCGTGGCTGAAGAACATACCTTGACCTAGATAGATAATTACAGAGGGCATAAATCTGTCCTTTACTATGTAACACTTTTCTTAAAATGTGCAGAAAAAAATGTGTAAAACCAACGACAATAAAATATCAACACCAACTAATAACATCAAATAATATTATCTAGTTTAGGATTACATTTCATGTTTACAATTTCATTACTTGTACAATTATAGAACAGACACATATAATGATGTCATGGCTGGAGATGATTAATTCGTTTTCCGAACCTATTTAAATATCACTCATATGTCAAGATACATTGAAAACAATGCTGTCCTTATTTATGGAAAGAAAGAGTAGATTTGGAAAGTATAAATTTCAGAAAAGATTCACAATGTTCTGTGAATCACTGTAACTTTAACCTCAGCCTTCATGTTGAGGCCTTCACTCCTGGTTCTTCCTCTGTTTTTCTATTACTGAGACGTAAAAATGATTCATTAATGCATTGCCATAAAAAACGGGTGTGGGGAAGGAATATAAAATAATCACGTTTTGGAGGAAGGCCACAGATGGTGGTTCTGGGGGGGGGGGGGTAGGTACCTAACAGAAATGCTACGACCCAGTTTAGCTGTATCAAAAGTAGGATTTTCCATGAGCATTTTGGAGGGAACACAAGATCACAAAACCCGAAAGGGACCCACCAGCGGCAGCAGGTGCCTTGATTCTCCAGTGACTGGCTTTTGCTGCATTGGGTGGCTACTGGTTTGCAGAGTGGCTGTGCGCGTGTACCTGAAAGTGTGCAGATAGAGGGTTTGATAACAGTGGTGAACTGTCCCTGGTAGGCTGTAACCTTGGCTGAAGAATAACAGGCATGATCTAGTATATTTCCGGAGGAGAAAACGGCAGGCTTCATTCACATCGGGAAACTTTGAGGGAACAGAAACGGGGAATCTCTCTTCCTTGAGAACACATATGCACGACGTGGATGGTGGAGCAGACCAGTCTCTTACTATTGTTATTGTTACTATTTTTTTTTTAATCCTGAGAAATGACACGCGTGCTGCAAAATAGGAACACAAGAAATTAGGACTCTGGGGGCGTGGGAAACCCGAATGGGGGCAGGGTGGGCAGGTAAACCGCGCGGGGAGAGGGTGTGTTTTCTTAGAGCGATTGCAAGCCCAGGGTACCGGTGCAGGACGGGGAGCATCTCCGCAGACGAGGAAGGAGCGGGTCTCGGGCTTGGTCTGTAGATGACCCAGGACCGGAGGCGGCGTGCCCCGCCGGGCGGGCCATACCGTTCCACAGCCGCGTCCTCCGGGACCCCCCACCCCCGCCGCCGCAGCCGCAGCCGCAGCGCCCCGAGCCGAGGCGACCCCTTCCTGCGGGGCCACGGTTCCGCTGGGCCGCAGCGCACCGCTCGGCTCCGCGCGGGGTCGGGGGCGGGGCGCGCCGCCATCTTGGATCCGGACGGTCCGCGAGCCTCCGCCTGCGCGCCGCGGCGCCGGGAGCGGCCTCGCGGAGCCCAGGGCGCGGGCGCGGGCGCGGGCGCGAGCGGGCGGGCAGGCGGGGGAGGGAGGCTGGCAGAGGAGGAAGGGAGTGGTTGGGAACCGGGCTGCGGCAGCCTCCGGTCTCCTCAGCGGCGGCAGCGCGCCCCTCCTCCCGCGCCTCTGCCGCCCGCGTCCGTCAGGAAAGATGCCCTCAGCCCGGGGCTGTGAAGAAGGGATAGGAGTCGCTGCCCGAGGCGCCGCCGCCGCTGTCGCCCGCGTCCTTTGAATTCGTCAGCGCAGCCCCTCGCCGAGGGGCGGCGGCGGGAGCCCGGGCGCTGCGCCCGGCGGCACGGCGCGGCCCGCCAGCGGCCTCCGGCATGGAGCGGGCTCGCGCGACCGAGTAGCCGCCGCCCCCGGAGCCCGGCGCGAGAGCCGCCCGCAGCCCGCCTCATCCCGGCCGCGCCGGCGGCCAGGCCCCGGGAGAAGCCCCGAGGAAGATGACGCGCTCTCGCCGCAGCCCGCTGGAAGCCGGACTCGCTGCAAAGCCCTAGGAAAGAAAGAGCTCGGGAGCCGAGGCTCGGCGTAGCCCGAGCCGGGAGAGCCGCTCCGGGAGCTGCCCTCCCTTCCCGCGGAGGACTCGCCCAGGCGCTATCCGAGTGGAGGTTGGGAGCATTTGCAGCAGAATTTTTGGCTTTCCCTCCCCCTCCATACATTCCCCCCTCCTCCTCTTCCAGTTTTTCTTCTTCCCGGGAAGTGAATTGCTGATGCCAAGAGGACTTTATTCATTAACGATGCAACCGGATTCGTTTCAGGATTATGTTGCACGAATTGAATTTTGAATGAAGGATTTCTTTTTTTGAAAGAAGTGTTGACTCTTTGGTTGGTTGTACTTTTAATTATTATTTTATTTAAACATACAATTTAATTGTATTATTCTCTTAAAAATATTAAATCTATATTTTATGGAAACTTACCCTCAAGATATACGTGTTTATGGGTGAAATTGAAGACGCTTCCGTTAAATGAGGTGACTGGCGTGTTGGATGTTTAATTCAGCACCGGCATTGCATGACAGTTGTTGAAATAACAAGTGGTTTTTTTTTTGAAAACCACACCTTTAAAATTTTAGGTTCAGATAGTAACAGTGCACATTGTAAGGGCCATTAAAAGAAAGCCAGCAGAAATCGAAGCAAACATGTCCGGAGAAGTGCGTTTGAGGCAGTTGGAGCAGTTTATTTTAGATGGGCCAGCGCAGACCAATGGGCAATGCTTCAGTGTGGAGACCTTACTGGACATACTCATCTGTCTTTATGATGAATGCAATAATTCTCCGTTGAGAAGAGAGAAGAACATTCTTGAGTATCTGGAATGGGGTAAGGTTTTTTTGTTTTTTGTTTTTTTTAATTCAATGTGTAGCTGGGCATGAGCATTATTAACTATGATGAAAAATATATATGTATACATAACCATAACAAAAGGACAAACGCCAGTTACTCCAGGCTTTGCCCCCCTAGTTTTTGGTAACTGTTTGGCAGGAGTTAAGCTGTGTGCCACTTCATCGTTGCCTTGGTGTGGGGCCTTGCGGTTTGTGGACTCACTGCGTTTTCGTGCAGCAGTAAGAGCTTTAAAACAAATACTGGGACGAGCAAACTCGGATTATTGAGCACAGTTGTCTTATGCACAGCAGTGTAACAGCCGTTCAGTGGGTAGGTATTTGTTGGCTGAAACATTCCTTCTTAGGCTTTGGAAATCACTGGAGATGGGAGGAGATGTTGAAGTCTCTGTTTATTTTAGGGCATCAGGACCGTGGAGGTGGTGATCAGTGGGTTTAATTTCATCTCTGTATAGCAAGAACAAGGGAAACTACTAAACATAGACTTTGCACAAATTACTAGGTTCCTGAGATGAAATAATAGGAGAGAGAGAGAGAGAGAGAGAGAGAGAGAGAGAGAGAGAGAGAGAGAGAGAGAGAGAGAGAGAGAAGTTGGAGAATATTGGAGGCAGCTTCACCTGCGCTAAATTTTACTCTAAATTGAACTCGCATCCATTCTGGTGAGAGTTTCAGCTTCCAGTCTTCTAAGTGTAGAAGTGACCTGGACCACCCGACCGGTAGTAGTGACTAGATCAGTGATGCCAGTAAACACTGCATGTGACCTTCAAGCTAGAAGGCTTGGCTTAAGTGCTTGAGCCTCTGATGTCACTCACTTGGACGAAGGAAGTCTGACATCTAGCAGTTGCCATCATTGCCCAGCCTGGTAGTGAGTGGTACAGCAGCTCTGGAAGGATTTTGGCCATCTAGAATTTTGTGCTGTTGAAATACTTTTAGTTAGCTAAATCATTTTGATATTGAAGATCTTTGCTCCCAAGTAAAGCATAATTTTCTGAAATAAAAATTAAGTGCCCATTGTTGTTTTGGTTTTCAAATCCAAAATTTGTCTCTCAGGTCACCCCTCGATTTGAGAATGCCCACACAAAGCAATTTTAATTCTTCAGTTTGGTATTATTCGAAGAGTGATTGCTAGCAGCATGATGTTACAAGGTTAAAAAATGTGTGAATGTGAATGGAATGATTTTACAAAACAGCCTGCCAGCATCATGCAGGCAATATAAGAAATCTTAAACCATTTTTCAGGCAACTTGTCTCTTGAGAGCAGGGACTTTTTCTGTTGATACTGGCTTTGTTCACATCTACCTGCCTTTTGATGTGGAGGATCCAATACTTTATGAAGCATATGGAATTTTACACCCAGTGTTTCATAAACTTAGGAATTCTGTGGTGTTTCTTTTTTGAGGACTTAAAAGGTTTCAATGCTCCTACAGTTGGAATTTGAGTCCTTAAATTATGGCCCCATGGTGACACTCTAGTCTGTGATTATGATTGTCATTTAATATCCTTTTCATTTGCTAAACAGTAGGAGAACTCTTTGTATGTCCCAGTGGCAAGTATAATTTAAATAGTATATAAGAGAAAACCTTATGTCCTGGTTTCTTGTTATATAGCAGTTTTATGCTGTGGAATATTTTGCCATATTATTAAAATAACCCATGCATCTTCCATTTAATATCTTTTCTTGGATGTTATTTTCCTATGTGTATGAAAACACTTTGTAAACATACATATATATTTATTTATACCAAAAAGTTAAAAAGAATGCAGGTGTTTGCCTGCATTCACTATAGTCTTTTCTTTCTTTTTTTTTTTTTTTTGAGAGAGAATCTTAGTCTGTAGCTCAGGGTGGTCTTGAAATTGCTATGTAACATTACTGGTATGCACTACCATGTGCAGGTTAATTAGTGCTGGGCTTTATACATGCTAGACAAGTACGCAACCATTTAAGTTCCATTCCCAGTCTACATTCACTGTATTCTTATTAATAATTTCATTTCTCATCTTTTTAGTTGTCTGATGTATAATATCTTGAAACCCAGCAGTCTCATAAACTATTACTAGAGTTTTAAGAAAAAAAGCGTTATTATTTTATTTTATTATTGTTATTATTGGTTTTTTTTTTTTTTTTCTTGTTTCCTTTTTCCAGGCAGGGTTTTCCTGTTTAGTTTTGGAGCTTGTCCTGGAACTAGCTCTTGTAGATCAGACTGGTCTCAAATTCAGAGATCCACCTGCCTCTGCCTCCCAAGTTCTGGGATTAAAGGTGTGCCTCACCACTGCCTGGCTAAGAAAGAGTTATTTTTACTATTTCAAGTTATGTGTGTGTGTGTGTGTCTGTGTGTAGGTATGTGCTGTGGACATCTGATCCCCTTGGAGCTGGCTGCTTGTGGTTGTGAGCTGCCTGACATGGGTGCTGGGAATGAAACTCAGGTCCTCTGGAAGAGCCTTTGCCCTTTATGCTACTGAACTATCTCTTGAACTTCAAGAGAGTAGTTTAAAAAGTTTGAAATATTATTTCTTTTGTGATTTTAGATTATAATTACATCATTTCCCTCCTTTTTCCTTCTTCCAACCCTTCCTTCATATTCCTTGTTCTCTTTCAAATTCATGTATTCCTACATTCATAAATACAACATACTTAGTCTGCATAATGTTGTTACTTGTATGTAAATTTTCAGGGCTGAACCTTTAGTTTTGGATAACCAACTGGTGTGCTCTTCTCTGGGGAAGAGAGTAGAATTTTTAAGGAATTATTTTGTATACTTTAGGCTCTAAAATCTCTGGTATGTTCTTCCCTTCATAAGAATTAACGAGTGGAAGTGTGGTAAGAGATGCTTCATAAGTGTTTTCATTTACTATCTTTAAGCTATTGGGCATTTTAGGTTAAGAATGATCATATCTTTGCGTTAAAGTGTTGCAGTGAATCATTCCTTCTTTATTTATTAGTCTATCACTACATTTCTGTTGCAAAACAATGTGTAAGAAGAATATCTAGATTGTCTAGATTTTCAGATTGTTAATTGTCTTCAATTTACATTTTTAATGAATTACTAACTTTTGAGGATGGAAATTTATAGGAATATTACTAAGGTTAAATTTGATAATTTAGATTGGCTTCAAGATGTCATCTTTGGTTTGACTTTAATATTTCAAAAAGTATTTGTCTTTAAGTCTTTAAAAGACCCAGTAATTGAAATAGAATAGTATAGTTAAATATTCCATATTACATGCTAAGTGCCACCTAGGCACTCCATATTTTTATAAGGGGATGATTGGTTACTTTTAAATATGTAGTCAAGATCCTATGTGTCTCACTTTCATTAATTTCATTTGGCTCCTTGTTATGGTCCATTTCATTTCTGTAGTGGTACAGTTAATATTTTGTTATTAACAGTACCACAGAAAGAAAGCTGACTATTCCCAGTCCAGTGTGCTGTTTTTCTTTTACAGCATTTCTTGGTTTTGGTGCTGATAGCTTGAGGGAGAAAACTAGAGCAGGAGAGAAAAAGAAGGGATTGAGTGCTAGCCCAAGGGGATAAAAGTATCTTAAGACCACAGGCCACTTCTGAGTTTCATAATTATATTATTTTCTAGTAACAGCCAGCAATATTTGAAAGTTTTCTTTTCTTTTATTTCTCAGTTGTAAGAATGATTTCTGTTTACAGTCAGTGAGAGTTGAAAGACTTTCTTTGATTTTTTAAAAAGTTGTTAGAAAAATTATGGTTTCTGTTTGTTTATATAGTAATAGTTTTGATGTCAGTAGTAGAACTCTTTAAGTTATAGTCTAGCTATAGAAGTAAAGTAGGTGTTACATTATAAACTTATTTGTCAGTGATGACTAATACATTCACTATTCATTAAATTGGTTTCCCTCTGCTTTGAAATGGGAAATTTGAATATTAAGGAACAACTAATTTATTTAAAAAGTAGGTATAGGATAATATTGCTCAGCACAAAAGGAACTGGCAGGGCTCTCTGTATGTGGATTACTTTTTTATGCTTTCTGATCCTGATTTTATAACATTTCGTGTAAGTTTTCACTAGATAACTATTTTTATAGCTTACTCAGAGTTTATGCTACACTCAAGAGTCTGATTATTAAACTTATTGCTAGGACACATCAACAGATATTGCAGTATAAACATTCCCTTTTGTTAGAGTTGTTTTAAAGTTTATTCTCTTTTTTTTATGTGAATTGGGATGGTGATGGCTTGATTGGAAGGAACTGAATTATTTCTAGAATACTTCCTTTGTTCTTCATGTCTGCTGTTCCTCACTGTTAACTTTTCCTGAGTAGAATTATTTATCACACAGAATTAGGATATTCATTTAATACAGGTAATTAAATTCATTTCAAAATAAGTCTTCATTTGGGATCATTGTAAATGTGTTGAAAATATAAGTAGAACACTTGCTTCTTTTACACTCGTCATGTAATATTCTGTTTTAAGGGTGGATGTGGTTTATCTGAAACAGTGTTGACACCTGAGGGGACATACTAGGAACATAATAAGTGGTAGGTAGCTGTTGTACCTTTTCTCTCCATCCCTCCTTTCTCTCTTTCTTTCCTGCCCCCTTCTTCCTGAGGTAGTTGCCAAATAATATTGGTTACTGAAGCATCTTGCAGTATGGGTTATTTGGTTAATAAACGGTTTAAAATAATAATGCTTTGTGAGTGAGAACATTATGTCAAATTTAATATTTTAAGAATTTTAGAAGTACTTCATTTGGAAACTGAAGGTGTATCTTATTGTAGAAGTGTGAAAACAAATACTGTAATATGTTGGAAATTTGATAAACTGTCTCATAACTCTTAGGACTTGATTACTATTCCATAATAAGCCCAGTCTGTTCCAGGGTCAAAGAGCCGAACTTGACACAGTTTTGTTGTGCTATTCATTTTTTTTTTCTTGTTTGATAGACTTACTGCCAGGAGATTGTATGTAAAGCTTGTTTCTTTTCATACTGTTGGTTGTGACAGTTTCA